CAACACGAAGCAGAAGAAGAGCCAAAAATGGATGCCGAACCCTCGCGAGCTGGTGGCCCACTACGAGAATCAGGGGATGGAGACCCAGGACGCCTCTCTCAAAGTCATTCAGGATTTGCAGGGCGCCCTTTTCAGGGTCGTCTCCTCTGGCCGCCGCAAGTTGACGGACACCGCCTCCTCTAAGTCGCCAGACACCGCCTCCGCTAAGTCGCCGGACATCACCTCCGCTAAGCTCAACGCCATCCATTCCCGCCTCGTCGCCCTCGAGATGAAGTTGGATTCAAAGCCCAGCTACCCGCAGGCCGTTGCCGTTGGTGTTGCCTCCGCCGGAATTTGGAATGCGGTGGTTCAGCTGTGGGGCCTCGTTAAGCGGGTCAACTCATCGTCCCCGTAATCTGGTGGCCGGGAATTCCTACGGTGTGGGTCGTTTTCAAATATTATCTCTTTTTTTTAAGAAAAAAAATCACACCTTTTTGTATCTATTGGGCTCCCAAAGGTCTGTTTTGTGGACGCTTAGTTGATGATATTTCTCCGAGAATTGTTCTTAGTTGTGGTGGTATCTTAATGTAGTTGTGGGATTAGAGAATTATTGAGTTTTGCCGAACTCAATATGAACCGGCATTTCTAAATCGCTATTGTGTTTGTGTTCGCGCTTGATCTTTTACCTGTTTTCACGCATCGTGCCATGTTTTGTTTGTTAATTGTCCCATTTTGTGTAGCCGTGATTAAATTCAAGTTTAGATTGTGCATAATGATGCCTCTTTTCACATTTGAATAGTAACACAAGTTTTATGCTGTAATGCTGCTTGCCTTGTTCCACTGCTGTTATAAATTGTTATTACAGTTTTTTAGCTATCTAGCTGACCATACAATGTATCTTGGAGAAAATGCCGACGGTACAAATGTGAAGTAGAGGTAAAAGAAAACAGCTGCCTTGGACAGTGGAAAATATAATTTATTTGCAGATTTTTGCTGCCGCTGTTTTCATCTGCTCGGCTGAAATCTTTTCATTACACATATTAGCGATCCCCCGTGTATATTTCATTCCGTACCTCGTGAGGGGTCCACAGTGTTCCTCATATATTTTCACCTACGAGCAAAAGGTAAGAAGAATATCAGGACCCAATTAGTTGATTGACTTGCTAAATTTGTCTCTATATCCTAATGCTATCTTATGTGCTTGCATCCAGTGGTGGAGTGGCCCGTTTACATAGTGAAACTGATGCAGAAGGTGCATTTAACTTACAAATGTCTTGAGGCAGCTCCAGTCATCAACAAGCGGCTGTCCACCGAGTCGAACGGTGTGCAACACGTTAATACGTTTGGCTCCAAAAAGAAGTCTGCTTATTTGCTTCATCTTATGATCTACAAGCCTCCTGCTCGTGATCTTGTCGAGCAACTGCTTCCGGGCTTTGTGCCACTTTGTAGAATCTTTCGGGGTTCTACGGAGCTGGTGGAAGGAAAGAGAAAGAACCAAGGCAATTCTTTTATAAACTATAATATTTTTTTTTTTCTAAAGAGCAATTTTGGTTACAAATTACAGTGGGGTATATTTTAAAGTAAGAAACCTTTTCCTGGTAATGGAGGAGGTCAGCTTCCCTCTGGTTTACTGCTTTGACTGCTGATGGATTGTTAAGACTGTGTTTGTTCCGAGTGTAATTATTGTTCAGTGAATTGCTTCCCATAAAAGTATCTAAAACTCCCCTCTGAGAGCTGAGCTCCCGTATTCCATAACGTGGGAACTGCCTTCTGCATTTTCTATTGCTGTCCTCCTTCTAACCTGTGCCGATCATAGTAAATCAATCATATTGTGTTCTGTAATCTGAGAGGGTTGTTAGTGAGTAGTACAGATCCGTATCCGTTCATGGACGAGGATGAAATTTACTTACCACATGAAGCTGCTGGCCCAGAGTTTCCGACCGTAAATCGTGTTTTTCACTGCATGAGGAAGGGAGTGAACGTACAAAAATCTAAATCTTCTGGTGCAAAGAGGAACATAAAACAGAAACAAAAAAAAAAGGAGAGAGAGAGAGAGAGAGAGAGAATAAAGAATTTACCTGTCTTCAATCCAGGAGAAGCTGTACACATCACCAAGACACACGTCGTATGTTTGGGAAATGTACGGAAAGTCATCAGGACAGTACGTTGCGAAGCTGTCCTCAGTCGCATTTGCTGCCGTGATTGCATAATGTTCATATTTTCCGGAAGAAGCCCCTCAAACATGCTCCCTGATTCACAGGCTTCGAGGTAAAATACCTGTTATCATCATCAGTCATATGTGGGGATGTTAGCCTTATACCATTTTCACTAGATCATACAGAAAATAAGCTAATTATGCTGACCATGCTTTTGTATGCATTTGCCTTGTGCTTTCGCTTCAGGACATCAACAAGATCATCGGCATAAACGAACTCGTCACCAGGCATTGCTGTCGACATATATACATCATGAATCAGGTGACTTTTATTGAATATTCCAAATAAAGTTGACATATAAGTATATAACATATCACAGCAGTGAGACTTAGTTCTCAGTGACCTGAAAAGTTATCTCTTTGTGTGTGTGTGTGTGTATGACTAGTTGTTTGGAGTACTAACCAACCAAACCGGGACCTCCATGATCAGTATAATATATGAAAATGTGATCTTTTGGACCACTATCCACGACCTTCCCACTTTCTCCGGTTAGAGCACTTTTATTACCTAGTATTACTGCAAATAGGTTTTGTACATTGACATCCTTTCTTGTATAATCCTGAAGCAGATAAGAGTTTTACGTATCTAAACATCAAGCAAGTCTAGCTAGCTACTAATACGAAATTGATTGCTTCCGTTTCAAAAGTTATCACCTTTGGGACTCCCTCATAGATGTTTTCACCGTTTGGGCTGTTAACGATAACGCCCGGCCTAGGATTGTCTGCATCAGATGCTATGTCATCGTACATGAATACTATGATGTTCTCTTCTTTCAGTCCGCCTTTCTTTAGAATTTGAAAGGCATGGCATACGATGCCTGAGACAAAAATCGTTCGTAAGAGTAAGAATATCCATTTAACCGGGAAATATAAACACACAGATGAGATGCTAAATAACAAGACAATATTTAGAACCTGATGTCTGTAATTTTCATAATCGCGCGATCCTGCAACCAACAGAGCCCACCTCGTACCCTCTTCTACGTCTTGAGGGTTACCGGTCTTGCTCTCGAGGAATTTGGATATCGTTCGGTCCTGAACCTGATGTCTGTAATTTTCATAATCGCGCGATCCTGCAACCAACAGGAATTTGGATATCGTTCGGTCCTGAACCTGATGTCTGTAATTTTCATAATCGCGCGATCCTGCAACCAACAGAGCCCACCTCGTATTCTCTTCTACGTCTTGAGGGTTACCGGTCTTGCTCTCGAGGAATTTGGATATCGTTCGGTCGTGCAAAAGTTGTTCACGGACGATAGAAGAATGTCCTAGTCCGAGGAAGAAGAGTGCTCGAAGAATGTAATGAATCATTTGAGACTGTAGGAAAGAAAAACCTCTATTGCCTGTAGTCATATGATTTGGGGTATATATGTACAAGAAATAAAAGAGAGGTGAGAAAGGAGTCAAATCTTTTAGCAAAGGTCAAATGATGGATAAGAACAGCCATAATAACCAAAGTGAAGAAATTTATGGGGGATTTTAGAGTAGATGTGGTTGAGTTGACAAATTGGGATTGTTTGAACAAAGTGGTATGAAAAACCTCAAAACTGATGGTCATCAAGAAGAAATAGTACAAGTTCAAATAGCACAAAATATTATACTAAAATATGGCAAAATCTTTCCCTGGGAAAATCAACCCTATAACATGGGTTCATACTTTCATACTTCATAGTGCTGCTACTAAACACGCACACACACACTTTTAACTGATACTGTAACTTCATATATATACAATGTACAGGTACACTATTAACTAAAACAGAGGACACTAAACTCCTATCTACACAATGATCAGAGCCAAGTGCCTTCGAACAAGGGACGGGTCGAGTTAGGCGCAATCTCTCCAAAAGTCTCCAGCAGATCCGAGCACTCTCGGGCTTCACCCTCTTGCGAGTCGGGCTTCAGCTCGAGGCCCAACTCCTCCTCTATGTCGTCGGATGCAGATATCAACAGAATCTCACACCCTTCATAGTTGAGGAAATCCGGCGGGTCAGCTGGGCTGAACCGTTTACCATGGCCCAAAATGCCCTGCAAACGGGCCGGAAAAGCTGCCTTCCTCTTCTCACTCAGCCCACTGAACCCAGATGAACGACTTCCTCCGGAAGCTTCCGGATTCTTGATCTGGATAATGAAGGAAGCCTCGCGTGCAATGTTAAGGGCTTCTTGAGGTTCGCCACCTTCTTTCTCCGGGTATTCCAGCTTGTAGATCAGGTGCGTGTGCATTTTTTGGCTGCCGTTTTTCGGTTTGTGCCTCAAGATACGGTAAATCCCTTCCCCTGCGGCTCTTGAATCGGGCAGGTGCCTGTGGCCTCTTGTTGCAGTCTCGTACTCTTCTGAGTAAATCGAATCCATGACATTATTAGGCACAATTTATTAAGTCAATACTCTTGCTGAAAAAAAGAAGCAACTTGAATGTTGTACAAAATTCACCTCCTTTGAGAGCATTCTTGATGTGCTCGATTTTCGTGGTGACCAACTCCACGAAACCCCAATAAGGAGACGATGATTTCTTCTTCTTCTTCTCGTGGTTTTCCGGGAGGCTTTTCCGGCCCATGACGATGAGACGCAGCAAGGGCTGCCGCTCGATGTTCACCTCCTGACTGCCGTGGCCCCCGCCACCCTCCGGGCGACCCTCCTCACAGCCCTCGTTATTAGCCAACCCTTCTTTGCCGGATTTTGGATTTTGTTTCTCCTCGACCGGTGTTTCGCCGGATTCCGGCCGCAGAACCAGGTAAAGGCGTTGTACGTCCTCTGCCCCATGAGCCTCCTCTCTGTTCACTTTGGGCCTGTAAAAGAAGAAGATTTCCCCTCTTTCCTGTTTCATCATTATTTTTTTCAATAAAAAAACATCATCAATCATTTGCACTGCGTAGAACAAGGTGTGTATCGATCAAGATTTCACGCTCAAGTGTGTGTGTGTGTGTGTGTTTACCTGAATTTCAACAGTTGGTTGGTCTCTTGTTTTCTTCTCCTCGCCTTGTCCCATTACAGTTGGTAGTGTAAGGAGGAGTTTGGCATATGATGATGTTTTTATGTACAGAACAGGCGGTGAACTTGAGAAGTTAAAAAAATAGATGGAGTGGCAGAAATTGGACACGTGGCATGTACCATTCGAGAGATGACACGTAGCACTATCACCGCCAGTCTCATCCTATGTTTTCTTATGCTCGGCCTTAAAGATAATTCAACGCAAAAGGAAAACGTAATGTAAAACGCTTAAAAAATCACAAAATGTTTTAACAATATATACTATATAAATCTTTTGTTGTAAAACCAACTTGTACTCATTTATCATTCATCATGCATGGGATACGTCAGATAAAGACTCCGTGGGTAGATGGACCCAGGCCCGATAAAGCCCGGCTCAACTTACACGCACCGTTTCAAGATCAAGGATCAAGAGGGCACGTTGTTGGTGGCACGCGCACAGCAATGGGCTAAGAGCCACGGTTTATGGGGTGCTCGTCATCTGCCCGAAGTTGGGAGCCTCGAATCCTTTCCCGCATTTCACCATTTTTTTTTTTTTTTCAAACGGTAGAATTCTCATACAAAACAAAAACAAACAAGAATAAGTAAAACGAGCACCACCCGAGATGGCCGCGAGGCCTGAGAGCAACACTACATCAGTGTGCTAAAACTTACAAGACACTAACATGAGACTGGAAGCTAGCAACAAGTTAGGAAACTTCAATCCCAAACAACACAAGATTGACCAAAGCAAAACACTAAAACAAGAAACAAAAGAAAACAACCAAGGCAAAACAAACTGCCCCATAACTGCCAAAAAACTAACTACCCTGCATTCACCATTAAATTAAATATTTTCTTCAATAACATCAAAATAGATTATGGTATCATCCTCCAAACATCTTTACTTTTCTGAAACTAAAAGTATTCCAGTACATTCGTTTGTACACTATATTTAATTGAAACTCTAGCAACTTCTATGCAAAATTTTATGAAGACAACTATAGTGATACCGCTCACTTAGAAAGGGTGCCTTACATGAAAATCAAAAATCACAAGAAAATGTCTTCTTCACCACCCACACCAAATTAAAAACACAATATTTATCACCTGCTTGATAATCCTATGGTGCTCGACCAACATCGGCGAACGAAGAGCTTAGACAAATTCCAGAAAACTCAAATATGTCCTATTTACAATGAAAACCAAGAACCAAGACCCCAACATTTATCACACCACAAATCCATAAACAAAAATAAAAACAAAAATCCACCAAAAAAAAAATAAAAAAAAAATTCACTAGAAAATGTCTTCTTCACCACCCATGTACACCAAATTAAAACGCAATATTTATGACAAAATATTTATGATAAAGTAAATATAAATATAGATATAGATATAGATATAAATAGATAGATAGATATAGATAGATATAGATATAGACAACATAGATATAAATATAGATTACAATACGGATAATGGAAAAATAAACAACAATGTAAGTTCAATAATCGGAAAATGGAGACTCCTCAAGCTCTCTCTCTCTTTTCGTAGTTGCTTGTCCTAGATTAACTTCAATCTGAAACTCCAAGACACTCCAAGCTCTCTCTCTTTTCGTAGTTCCTCCTCCTTAACCTCTCTTTCGATAGTTGGGTCTTTTTGTTATTTCCAGTGTGCGTACGACTGATAAGAAACTGTAAAGTTTGGACTAGTCTTGAAGCTCTCTTCTCGTAGTTGGGATTTTTCGGTCTCTATCCATACTTTAATCTGAAGGCCGACTTCCCCAAGACACTCTTGTTGTTCCTCTAACATCTTCTTTGCATAAAGCACCAGAAAGTCATTGCAATGCACCATCCTAATCTCCCTAAGCGTGGTTATATCCCAAATTTCCAATGGAATCTCCTTCAGCTTGTGTACATTCCACAGGTCGAGCCGCTCGAGAAGCGGGAAGTTAGTGGCCTCAATCCTCCACTGTTCAAGATCACAACGGACGATTCTCAAGTATTTCAGGCTCGGGAATCCCCCATCGGCTGTTACCCACTCGGGCCCCACGAACGCATCAAACGATAGCTTGAGGGCCTCGAGATATGGCAACGACCCTATCTTTGTCCCCATCTCCTCCCACCCCAGCCGAGTGCCTATCAGAGTCAGCTTCCTGAGTGTAGTCGGGAACTTGATCATCAAGTCCCTTGCCAGCTTCCTTTTCCTCGAATAAATAAAGAAGAAAAGGACCTCCAGCTTGCGTAGCCGACAGAGATTGTCGAGACCATAATCAGCCTGTGATAATTCCTCCTCCTCCTCCTGGTATTCTATTCCAAGCTTCTTGATATTGGGGATTCTCTCAACCACATCCTCAACCAACCTCAAGTTAAGTATGGTCTGAAGAGTCTCTAGATTCTCTAACACCATCCTACCATTATCTTCTTCCATTGAAGGAGGATCCGTGAGATGGACATTGGATAGCTTGACGTGCCTGAGTTGGGGCATCCGCCAGATGTCCAGAACCGGCCAGTTATTGTCCATCCACGACAAGAAAACCTTCAATGTCCGTAAATTCCAGAGTCGGTAAAATTCAGGAGGAAATTCAAGCAGATCAGCTTGGGTATCCAGGTGGCGCAAGTTAACTAGATGAAAATTGTTTCCTACAAATCGTTGATCATTCATGTAGCCCTTTTCATTCAGAACCCTAAGCAGTCTAAAAGGAACTACAGATGCTAAACGTCCATTAACTACCCATATCAAAGTTCGTGCGCGTGATGCCGATTGCACAACTTCAGGGAGTGGACGGGGAATGTGTTCCCCGGCTTCGTGAATGCCTATACGGCGTTGGGCACACCAGCTAATTTGGTCGTGCTCAGGGTTGTGCATTGTTGTTTCCATCGTGCGAAAGAATTTGTATTTCTGAGCTTCTTTTATGCATAGGTCTCTCAGGAGATCGTGGATGCCGCAGTATTTTATTCTTCGAGTGCAGCCCCGCCAATGAACCATGATTAGGTTTCTGATCACGAGATCATGTAGATACACTATTCTCGCAATTGTTTCCAAGCTTTTACCGGCCACCGGTTTCACAAATCCTTCATCAACCCATAGCCGGATGAGCCTGGAGACAATAATCTCATGGTCCTCTGGGAACATGCCCATGTAGAGAAAGCACGGTTTGAGGTGCACCGGCAACTGATTGTAGCTCAACTGCAATATTTTAAAGCAACGCTTATCTTCCTCTAAATTCACAATCGAGCTTAAATTTTCTAAAACGTGTTGCCAGTTTTCCCGTGTTTGTTCAGACTTTGCTAAGAGTCCCCCGATCACGACAATTGACAATGGAAGGCCTCTGCAGTCCTTTGCAATGTCCTTCCCAATCTCTTCCAATTCCGGAGGGCACCCTTGTTCCCCAAACACGCACCCACGAAGCAGAGTCCAGCTTTCGTAATTATTCAGTAAACTCATCTGAAAGTAATCCGGGCCATCCAGTTGCAGAGCCACTTTCAATAGCCTAGTGGTTATCAATACTCTGCTCCCATCGTTGCTATCTGGAAAGAAGTGTTTCACTCTATCCCATGCGTCTGTATCCCAAATGTCATCCATTACAATCAGATACCGTCGGCCGAATAAGCTTTTATACAGTGTGTCACCTAATTCATGTTCACTCATTTGGTTGAACATGTCCCCACTCCAACAGCGAAGGATTTCTAACAAAATCCCTCTGGAATTAATTTCTTGAGAGACTGTAGCCCATCCGCACATATCAAAGTATTCCACAATAAGTGGTTGTTCGTAAATCTTTTTTGCAAGAGTGGTCTTACCAATGCCGCCCATGCCGGCAATTGCGATGATCCGACGACTGGATTGTTGATTTGTTAGCTTATCCATGACCTTGTTCATAACATCATTTGAAACCACCACCATCGTGTCGTCATCACCCTCGTTATAAGGACTTTTCAGCTTATCCATGATGTCGTTCATGACATCATCTGAACCCATTGTGGCGTCATCCTCCGTGCAAAGAGCGATTTTTTTTCCCGTCTTCTTATGTTTAATAGCAGCCACGTCTTCTGTGATGGAATCCAAGTCGTGAATCACTTTCTGTAGCGCTGCATACAAAGACTCGTTGCCATCGTTCGGACTGATGTTAGCTTCACCACGAGCCTCAATATGATCGGCAATGTGGGACTCTATTATATCTTCTGCCTCGTGAGCCGCATCGACCATACGCCCCTCCAAGCCATCTTCATCATCAATAATATAATTTTCAAGAAATTCTTGCAAGAAAGCAACTTTTTCTATCAGAGGTTTGATTTGTAGTTTGTCGAGGGAAATGGGTGGGCGAGGGTGATTCAGGATTTGGTCTATAGTGTTTGTAAGAGAAAGCAGAGTTCCATAAGCTGCCATGGATCTCCTGTTTGGTGAAGTGAAGTTCAATCAGCTTTAGCTTGGAAGATTTTTCTCAAATGCTTAGTTGTGGTGAAGAAGAAAATGAAATTAAGATGATGAAGTGCAAGCGATGGATTGGATCTGGGGTTTGAAACTTTGCGGTGAAGAAGATGATGAAGAAAATGAAATTCAGTTGTGGTGAAGATTTTTCTCAAAATCTATCATATCACACGTACAGCAAAAGTAGCCTCTATTATTGAATTCTCCAAGAGAAAAAGTGAATGATGATATGCATTATTGGAGTGTAACAAATTACCAGTACTAATACCTATGTACAACATGAGTGTTGAGTTATTGAATATATGTGTAAAGTTATTTATTTCTAATACCAAACCTAACTCCAGAGCTAAAATACTATAAAAATAACATCACGAAGCATAGATTTTCG